CCCGTTCCTTTTTCTTTAGTGCTTTTTCAGATAGGCTCTCTTGCTTTTTGCACAGGTGGGCCTCAGACTATGACCCTCCTATCCATGTCTCCCGTGTAACTGGGATTACAGACACATATCACAATGCCTAGCTTGTTTGTTGAGATGACGTCTTGCTAACTTTTAGCCTTGTCTGGCCTCAAATCTCCTGATTTTGGCTCCTGAGTAGCTGGACTACTGCATCCAGATAGGGGAAGTTTCTTTACTAGCATAAAATAGTAACCAAATAACCTGTGCAGAGCAATCAGATCATATCCATCCAAATGAGGTTTGTTAATGACTCTTCATCTCAGGATGGAACAGTTCTGGTCTTCAAATCTCACATTTAATACATGAAAAAGCTTTTCCTGGTTGACTACACTCACATCTCTGAAAGCTTAAATGGTGTTAAACCTTATACAACTTTGTATCATTAAATGCTTACACAGCACCAGGCACCAGTGGCTCAGCCTGTAATCCTCTCTTCTTGGGAGGCTGAGATCAGTAGGATAAAGTTTCAAGGCCAACCCAAGCAAGTAGCTCCAAAATGGGGAGCAAAATGGACGGGAGGTGTGGCTCAAGCAGTAGAGCACCTGCTTTGTAAGCATAAAGCCCTGAATTCAAACTCTATGACTGCCAAAAACAAAGACCTTATACAGCAGGTACCATCATGTTTTGTATGTGAACAATTGCATTTAGGAAACAAACATAGTCTATTGTCTCACCAGATAGCAGAACAAACATCTCAGGGCCTTTTATATTCTTAACGATATTTCTGGGTGTGATGGCATACATCTGTGATCTCAGCACTTGGGAGACAAAGCAGGAGGGTCATGAGTCCAAGGCCTGCTAGACTACATAGTGAGTTTAAGGCAAGCCTGCTATACATAGCAAAGCCCTGTCAAAAAAAATTTTTTTTCTTTTTTGTGGTACTGGAGTTTGAACTCAGGGCCTGTACCTTGAGCCTCTCCACCAGCCCTTTTTTGTATGTGTTAGGTTTTTTTTGAGAAAGGGTCTCGAGAACTATTTGCCCATCTGGCTTCCAATGGCGATCCTCCTGATCTCTGCCTCCTGAGTAGCTGGGATTATAGGCGTGAGCCACTAGCACCCGGCTTCATGCGTATTTTAAAAAATATATTATTGAAGACGGCAAAGAACTTTTTGTTGTTGTTGTTGTTGTGTTTTGTGACACTAGGACTTGAACTCAGGACCTTAAGCACTCTGCTGCTTGAGTCACACCCTCTGTCATTTTGCTTATTAGTATTTTTCAGATGCAGACTCGTGTTTTTCTGCCCAGGACCAGCCTCAGACTGTCATCCTTCTACTTTCACCTCCCACGTTGCTGGGACTACAGTCACATACCACCACACCTGGCCTGTTTTTGCAAAGCAGAAGCTCCACTGTCTGAGTCACACCTCCAGTCCATCCTGGCCTGTTTTTGAGGCAGGGTCTCATTTATGTTTTTGCCCAGGCTGACCCAAACTCTGATCTCTGCTTCCTGAGTAGCCAGGATTACAGGTGTTAACCACCATTCCTGGCCCCCAAACAGCTTTTTTTAAGATAGGCTACATTTATTAGCATTTGCTATATTAGACGCTTAAACAAAAATAGTATTAATTTATTTTAAAGTAATAATCATAAACTAGTACACATTAATTTAAATAATATATTCTTATGAAAGGTATATTTTTAACAGCTTAGTCAGGAGGAGTAGCATTGTCTTACACTTCTACAAATCTCGTTATGTCTGGCTGACAAGCAGATGTCTGTAGCCTCACAGCTGCACTCCATCTGTCATATGTCACTCATCACGTAGCACCTGAAAAACTCCACTGTCTGTTGTTTGAGAAAGAATGAGAGGGGGGAAAGCAGTGGGCATGCTAGCATTCCGTGTAAACAGTCTTGTCCTTCCCGACCCCTGACCACACTGAGAGAAGTGCTACACTTGATTTACAAAATTCAAAGTCATCTGGAATAATGTTTTCTTTAATGTATGGTATATATATATATATATATATATATATATATATATATATATATTGCGGTACTGGGATTTGAACTCAGGCCTTGCACTTGCTAGGCAGGTGCTCTACCACCTGAACTATGCCCCAACCCTAAGGAAAGCAGGACAAGAGGTGGGGGGAAGGGCCAACTGAGGAATTCTAGCACATTGCCATCTGAAATAACCGAATTTACAGTCTCCAAGTCAGTGGAGGAATGAACAAACAAGAAACGAAAAACAAAGCAAAAACTTATTTCAAAAGAAGGCAAGAGGGAGGAAAAAAAGAACTACTGAAAGGCCAGGAAACAAAAGAGCACAAAGATGACAGATGTTTCTTTTATTTTTTAATAAGTAGGTGTGTTCCCTTTGTGATAATTCATTTATTATTTGGCACGTGTGGTGTGTGCACGTGTGTATGTGTACATATTTCAGTGAAAGTTCCTGCAATAAAATGAAGAAGTAGGGTGGGCACTGATGACTCATGCTTGTAATCTTAGCTATTCAGGAGGCAGAGATCAGGAGGATAGCAGCTTGAGGTCAGCCAAGGTAAATAGTTTGTGAGACCCTATCTTGAAAATACCCAACATAAAAAGGACTAGTGGTGTGACTCAAGTGGTAGAGCGTTTGCCTAGTAGGTGTGAGACCCTGAGTTCAAACTCCAGTACTGCAAAAAAATAGAATAAGGTGGGGGACATCATATGCTTACAAATGAAAGAACATTTCTAAGCTCAAGAGCCAAAGGAAAAAATCACATAGATATTGGAACCTATTTAGTACTGAAACTAATGACAATTCTGTGAATCAAAACTTAGGAGGAAGTGGACACTGGTGGCTCACGTCTGTAATCCCACCTACTCAGGAGGCAGAGATCATGAGTATTGCAGTTTGAAGCCAGCCTGGGCAAATAGTTCTCAAGACCCTATCTCAAAAAAACCCTTCACAAAAAACGGGCTGGTGGAGTGGCTCAAGGTGTAGGCTCTGAGTTCAAGTCCCGGTACCGCAAAAAAAAGAAAACCCAAAAACAAAAATTTAGGAGACTGGGTGTAGTAGTGAAGGTGTGTAATCCCAAGACTCAGGTGGCTGAGGCAGGACAGAGTTTGGGCCAGTACGGGCTACATAGTGAGATTCTGTTTCAGAAAAGCAGACCAAACCACCACCAACAAAAAAAAACTTGTGGCAGCCTACTAAAGTCGTTCTTAGCCTTAAATGCTTCCATCAGGATATACTAGCTAGCTGGTGGCTGTGCTCAGACCTTTAATCCTGGCTAGGTGGGAGGTGGAGATGGGGAGGATCTAAGTTTGAGACCCTGAAATGGGGTTTGGAAGTGGTGGCATGCACCTAGGAGGATCGTGGTTCAGGCTGGCCCAGGCATGAAAGTGAAACCCTATTCAAAAAATAATAAAAGCAAAAAGGGCTGAGGCTGTGGCTCAAGCTGTAGAGCGTCAGCCTAGCAAGCATGAGGGCCTGAGCTCAAACCTCAGTCTCACAAAAAAGAAAAGAACAAAGGCTAAAATTAATGAGGCCCCAACTTACAAGTTCAAAAAGAAATAACTGAAAAGACTCAACAAAGTACGAGGAAGATAAAAATAAGATTAAAGTTGAATGAAACGGAACTCATCCAGCGATGCCAGGGAGGGTCTTGGTTTTCGGAAGACCTCTAGCACGACTGAAGATGGAGGAGGGAAGGTGTGAGGGAGTAGGATGCTACTGGGTAGAGAGTCCTGACCTGGGTTACTCCCAGCAGAGTGGATCCTCCCCCGGAGGACCCTTCTCTTGCTTGTTTGATCCACCTGTGCCCACAAACGCTGCCCTGGGGTGACTTGGGATGCCAGTCCTCCCATTCCCACGTGGCAGACTGTGCGTGCTGGGGTGTTCAGACCTGGCATGTGGAACCCCCCTTCTGATGGGAGCTAAGAGCTCTTCAGAGGACAAGTGAGTGTCACCCCCTCTAGACATAGAGTAGGGAAGATAAGAACTGGAAGATTCTGATATTCCTCCATGTGGCACCAACCATTAATAAGGAAATGTCACAAACTCCAAGGAACAAAGTAAAAACACCCACTCAGAGGAGGAGTGGGGCTGAGAGGCCCGTAGGCAGGACAGATCAGGGAAAGTGAGGCGTGGGAAATGGTAGCCAGGAGTCACAGATAAGCATGGTGCTGGCAAGTGGCTTGGTTCAAAGCACACAAGCACTGCTTTCTTTGCTTTAAATCTCACACTCGCTGAAGCTGCAACATATAGTCAAAAACAAGAAAAAATATGCAGATTTCCTTCTCTGACCTTATCCACTTTTTCCAAATAATCGGTGCCCTCTGGGAACTGAACAAAGACATCTTAAAGACACTTGTCCTGGGGAAAGCACTTGGGAAAATGACTCCTCTGGGCACAAAAAGTGTTTGCAAAAGAAATATCTCAGGACGGACACTGGTCTCACAGGGAGCATCTGGCAGAACCCATGCTTTAAAGGGATGCTCAGACATCTATGTCATAATGACCCAAATTTAATAAGTGGGCCAGCCTTGAAATCTCTGAGCCTGACTGATAAAACTTCAAAAATGATTAAACGTATCAGGTCTAGAATAAAGAGGCACACTCATTTATCCCCACCCCCCAGCCTGCTTTTTCTCCATAAATACCCCGATGTTAGAGCACTGATAGCATTTGCTATCAGATTTACCCAGTCCATGCCCTGGTGTGTACTGTACTGCCCTTTCTTTGCTTTTTTTACTAATAAACTTCTTTGGTCCTCAATGTGTCCTAAAATTCTCTTTTGTGACAAGGTGACAAATTCAGGGCCAGGTAGAGGCCTCTACCCCTTTAGAGATCTCGTCCCTGGAGCCTCCCCAGCTCCAGTACCACTACCAGTCTTTGCCTCTTTAGCGGGGTACCAGAGAGTCACCCCAGTTCTGATTCATTGTTCCCCTTTACAGCGTCTTTCCCTTCCTCCCCCCAACCCAATGGTGACACCAAGTCAGCACATCTACTCTTCTCTGAAGCTGGAATTGGCCGTGCCTACACTACCATTTTCTTTGTCTGTTTCTGGCTCTCTGGCCCCCAACAGTGAGTGCCCCCAGTTCTGCAGCCTCTGTAGCCCTCTGTGAAAGTCTTTGCGCACGGCCGAGGAGGAGAAATAGAAGATCAAGGGGTCGATGCAAGCATTCAGAGAACTGAGCAACTGGGCACAACTGCCAAGTTTCACTGCTCTTTTGGAAGAAACCCACGATGTGAGACACACTGTAGGGCCCAAAGCACACCAGGAAATTGAAGAGGGTCACAGCGGCCAGCCCCACGGCCCTCCAGCACTTCTGGGTCCCCACGTGGGGCTGGGTGAGCATGATCCGCACAAAGCACCAACAGCAGAAGATGGTGACCACCATGGGGATGAAGAAGAGGACCAGGCACAGCTCCAGCCACATGGGCAGCACCATGTCTAGCTGCTCTTTGGTGAAGTTCTCATAGCAGACAAGGGGACCCTCACCAGTCCCCTTGTTGTTGGTTGGAAAATACTGGACAATGATCACGATGGTGCAGTGACCAAAGGACATGGTCCAGGCCACCAGGGCAGCGATCACCCCATACAGGGGCCTACGGGAGAGCTTGTACTGCACGGGGAAGGCCACACTGCGGTAGAGCTCGAAGCTGATCCCAGCCAGCAGCCACGTGCCGCAGTAAATGCTACTGTAGAAGCCAAAGCCCGTGAGAGCTCATGACAAGGGGCCACAAGAAGTCATAGATGACCTCGATGATCCTGAAGGGCAGCAGCAGCAGCAGCAGCAGCAGGTCCGCCAGGGTCAGGCTGAGCAGGAGGATGTGCACGGGTGCAGGCTGGGGCTGGCGGACCCGCTCCATGAAGGCACGCAGGGCCAAGAGGTTGGCAGGGAGGCCAGTGAGGAAAGACAGGACGTAAAGGAAGAGGAGCAAGATGTTTTGCACCTTTAGGGCCATCCTTCCTGGAGAGACAGAAGCTGGATCAGAACCCTGAGTGTGAATTTTCCAGTCCTGGACCAAGGAGGACCCATCCTCAACTTCACTGCAGCATCTGTACCCGCCTGGGCAGGTGGTGACTGCGAACCATGTAGACTGAGCACTGCTCTGCTGGCTGGGGGTCACGGGGAAAGAAGGCCTCCCTGCCCACGGTCCCCACCAGATCGCCTGTCTTGTCAGTGCTGGAGATGGAATTCAGGGTCTTGTGTGTGGTAGCAAGTGCTCCTCCTTCCGTTTCCTCCCGAGAGAGAGGAGAGAGAGAGAGAGAGAGAGAGAGAGAGAGAGAGAGAGGGACAGGAGAAGGAGAGGAGAGGGAGAGGCAGAGGGAGAGGGACAGAGAGAGACAGAGACACAAAGAGAAAAAAAGAGAATAGAAAGAAGAAAGAAAAGGTTGGTTACCAAAAAACAGTTGATGTCTCAGAAGCCACCCCCACCCCAGGAAAGGTGTCCGAGTCTCCACTGGAAAGCGGACTCATGAGGGTAGTGACATTATTTGTCTTGTTCACCATTGTGTCTCTAGTACCTAGAAGACATCTGAAGTAAAACCTAAGGGGTTAAGGGGTCCAGGTCAGGCATGCATGTGACCTTACGTTCAATCCCAGCGCCAATAAACACAGTAAAATAAAACTTGAGATTTTCATTTATTCCTGGTAACATGTTCCTACTGGTTTCCTTTTTGGGTGTAAATTAACTGTGCAAAGGGGTTTCATTGTGATATATCTGTACATGTGTATAATGTTCTTCAGTCAAATTCACCCCTTCTAGCTGGGCACCAGTGGCTCATGCCTATAATCCTAGCTACTCAGGAGGTAGAGATCAGGAGGATCGCAGTTTGAAGCCAGCCTGGGCAAACAGTTCCTGAGACCCTATCTCGAAAATACCCAACACAGAAAAGGGCTGGTGGAGTGGCTCAAGTGGTAGAGCACTTGCCTAGCAAGCATGAGGCCCTGAGTTCAAACTCTAGTACCAAAAAAAAAACAACCCAAAACAATTCATCTCTTCTGTATTCCTCTTCCTCTCATCCCCCTTTGATCAGTTTTTAATGAATTTCATTATGCTATTTTCATGCGTAAATTTTCACCTCTCCTTTCCCCTCCCCTCTACAGTCATGTCATATTTTTTTAGACCTAGATTCCACGTATGAGAGAACGCATGCAATCTTTCTTTTTAATTCAGCATTTGAGACTCTCAGAAGCAGGAGCCAGAAGAATGGGAGATTCCTGGCCTCCGCAGGACCAAGTTCATGTCCAGTTTCCCTTCAGATCTCACCTCCCCAGGCTCCACCAACTCATCTTGGCCCGTTTCCAATTTTGTGACCGTTTCCCATCCATCCTCTGTCCCCCTCCACATGGTTATCCTCCTGCCTTCCTTCTACTCATCTCTTCCTGGGCTGTGAGCCCTGCAGCCTCTTCCCTGAGCTCCCTCGAAGGCAGTGGGCCCCTTGCCTTTTCCCAGAGACTGATGGGTGGCATCTTGGAAGCAGTGGAACTTTGTCTGACTGGACCACCTTGTTCCCTTCCACATGCAGCAGACTTTTAGACCTGGAAGGGTCACATGGTGACCTTCCTCAGAAAGAGGAAGGTCAATAGTTAAGGCACTTTGACCCCAAGGAGCTCCTGCCAGATTCTCTTCCTAACAAACACATTTCTCCCAGAACCCAAATTTCAGCAGTGTTTCTGGGCCTCCTTCCCCCCACATCCCAAGAGGCTGCACTCTGTCTCCTTTCCTCCACAGATTCCAGGCTATCTGACTGCTTTCTGTGCTTGCTTCACCTGCTCCTCCCCACCTTCTCTCTTGGCTCCTGACCTGGCCAATTTCCTGTTCCCTTTCTGGGAGGCTCCAGCTGAGACTGGTTAGAATTATAAGCATTACTTCCTCTGGCCCCTTGGGTCCCACAACAGACACCCACAAGGGTGAGCTGGGTTCTGGATCTTTCTTACTGCATTCTCTCTCTAGTGGGCTCCAGCCTGGGCTACTCTCCCTTCTCACTGCTGTCCCCTTGCTATGTGTGTGGGATCCAGATTGCTCACTGGTGGTGCCTCGAGGCAGGCATGAGAAGACGTGGACACTTGTAGGGATGTCATCTCTCTACTTGGGGAATGAGTGCGTCTTGCCACTGGCTGCCTGACACTGCTAACAGAGTCTCTCCTCTTTCCCTAGCCTAGGAGGGGTGACTCCCAGCTGAGCTTCTCCCCAGTAATCAGCTCTTGTCATTTAGCTCTTCACCTTGCTACCCACATTCCTGCTAGCTTACCTCTTGAACTCACAAGGTGCCTGTCTCAAAATGGGTATCAGAAAGTGGTTTGGTCCGGGCATGGTGGTGTATGCTTGTAATCCCAGCACTTGGAAAGCCGAGGCAGGAGGATCTTGAGTTACAGGCATTGGGACAGCTTTGGTGCTAAAACACTAGGGTCACCAAGGCAGAAAAGGAATGCCAACCAAGGTATTTAGCCGAGTCACAAGGCTCTTTTCCAGACCTTGTGCACAGCTGCACCACTGTCTACACTGACTGCACTCAGACACTTCGGACTGAGCCATGCTCATCTCTGCACAGCGTCACTGTCACAGCCCTCAGCTCCCCACTCAGGAGCACTGAGTCTTTCCTCTGTGCAGGGCAGCTCTGGGTGCTGGGGAGGGTGAACAAGATGGGCCGTAATCAAGGAAGCAAATGGAGCTGGCCGTTTCATAGGAGGAGCAGGGAGGGTCTGTCAGGGATGGCCTAGGCTGCAGACAAGAAATCAGGCATGGGAAAAGCAATCCAGGCAGGGGACCCAGGGCCCTGCGGTGGGAACCTTGGGAATGTGGTCCCAGGTGGGAACAGAAGGGAAGTCGGATTGTTCCACAGCCTTGGGGGCCTGTGGAAACACAGAAGTGAGCTTGGGAGGCTGGCGGAGGGTAGTGTGGAGTCCTGTGTCTCCAGAATGACTGATCTTAGCAAACTCCATCTTGTCTTTCCCTCCTGGTCTTTGATGTGTCTGGATAAGCCAATCAGAATCTGTAGTCCCCTCTGGCTCAGTCCCCTCTGAAATCCACACAGAGCCATGACAGATTAAGCAAAGGTCAGATATGGCGTGCAGAAAAAGAATGACAGAGAACACTAAGATGTGCAGGGGCCCAGAGGTCTCTGGCCACTGAGCCCACAGGGGGAACCGAGAGAAAGAAGAGCCACCAAGGAACTGAAAGTCATTGCTTCCATCTACCTTGAAGCTGGGCCTTCATGACGGCTCAAGCACAGCAGCACAACCGTCCCCTTGTGGAGTCACCCACACAGCCTTCCAGATCAAGAGACCCCATCTGCTGGGAAACAGCATCCAGGCTGCTCCTCTCCACCAAAGCTGTCGTCCAGCCCCCTGCTTCCAACATCCAGGGAATGGGGTCCCCTGACAGCCACCCCTCCAAATGCCAAGAGGTGTCTTTGACATTAATTCCACCAGCAAATCCTTTCTGCTCTGTCTTTGAAGCAAATCTATCCTGGGTCCACCATTGCTGGCACATCCACAACCACCGCCCCGGGCTCAGGTCGTCATCATCATCTCTCATGCATTCCCTGGAAATCTCCTTTTGTTTCATGGCCCCCCCCTTCACGGACTTCTCCACTCGACACCCACCTGGTCCTTCCAAACCTAAGCAGGACACACGTCCCTCTTCTCAAAATCCCATAGTGGCTCCCTGTCCCCTCCCTCTCTGACCTTATCTTCAACCCCTTTCTCCTCCTCTCCCAGATTATTTGGGACATCTGGCAGGGGCAGGGGGGTGGGGTAGAGACACAATTTGATGATAGCTTTCAAAATGAAAAATCCCATACCTATTGACTTTACCAGTTTATTGCATGGACATCCTTTCCCGTGTTTATAAGGAACGTGTTTACGGTGTATTTGGCTTGTTGTTGCTTTTTTGTTTTGTTTTAATAAAAGGAACAAACTATGTTCCATCAAAAGTATGGACAGGCCAGGCATGGGGGTGCCAGACCCCATCTGGAAAAGCAAATGAAAGCACAGAGGGCTGGGGGCACAGCTTAAGTGCAGAACACTTGCCTAGCAAGTGGGCAGCCATATGTTCAAACCCCAGTTTGCAAAGCAAGAAACAGAAAACAGCTCTGGGCCGTCCAGATAGCAGAAATACCACACAAAGAATGAGGCAGGTGTATCAACATATCAGATAGAAAGTGAGGCGTGTGCAAGAAGGGTGTGCTGGAAACCGGAAGGGACATGCATGTACACTGTACCCAGTCAGCACTCCCCAAGAGCCCCCTGTGTCAGCTGGGGGAATCCGTCAGTGACAGGCCTGGCTTCCCACCACTGGTGTGGGAAGCATCCATAGGCTGCAGTCATCCATAGGCTAGGTTGGGCTGAGCAGGAAGTCAGAGACTAGAAAAGCAGAGGGAAGGGAAGAAAGAGCAGGTGCAGCCTAAGAAGGCTTCTTGGAGGAGGTGGTGCCTGCAGACACAGGTCAGCAAGCAGCTGTGAGGAGGGGGCTGGCCAGGACATTCCAGCCACAGGGACAGCAAGCCCTGATGTGAGCCGTGGCCTGTCCCAGGTGGCCAAGGAAGCCGGAATAGCTGCAAAGGGTCTGGGAGCAGTGTCACAGGAAAGATATCACACAGGCCCCTGTGGCCATGGTCAGGATGCCGAATGACACCTGGGAGGGGGGGTGGTGAGAGGTGGGGGTTGATGGGAAGCTCCCAGAGGGCAGCAGTTCTGTAACCTAGTCTCGTTTCCAAAGCAAGCATCCTTCTGGTGCCTAGAGGGTGGGGAAAAGGTTGCTCACGAAACTTCTCAGTCGCCATGTCTGGGGAAGGGGCACGGGTGTCGGGGTGATGGGAACTTGCCTGTCCCCATGCAACCCCATGCAACCTTTTATACTGTGAAAAAAATCATTCTGAGTATGTGTGTGTGTGTTTGTGTAATCTTTTTTTTTTTTTTGGCAATACTGGGGATTGAACTCAGGGCCTCATGCATGCT